TATTATTATTATTATTATTATTATTATTATTATTATTATTATTATTATTATTATTATTATTATTATTATTATTTATTTATTATTATTATTATTATTTAGACTATTGTTGTCGCCCATCGTTTATCTACTATTCGTAATGCTACAAAAATTGTAGTGATGAGTGAAGGTGCTATTTTAGAAAGTGGTACTCATGATGAACTAATGGCTATGAAAGGTGCCTATAGTAAACTTGTCGAAGCTCAACAACTTAAACAAGCAGAAATTTTAGATAAATCTATTATTCCACCAGAAGATACTGATCCTTTAATAACTTCAAATCAGATGGATATTATTCCAGAGGAAGATTATCAACTTGGACGTGTCACTACAAATAAATCTGTGTCATCGGCTATTATAACTAAAAGAAATGAAGATCTTGAAGCTAGTATAAAACATGATTATGAATATACAACATATGAATTAATCAAAAAAATTGGAAAAATAAATCGTCCTGAATTACCTTTTATTTTCATTGGTTTACTTGCTTCAATAGTTAATGGTAGTATATATCCTGTATTTGCCATAATCTTTTCAAGTATTATTCAATCCTTTTCAAGTCCTCCTGATGAATTACAAAGAGATGCTTCTTTTTGGTCTTTAATGTTCGTAGTTATAGCTGTAGCTACATCTGTTAGTAGTATTATTCAAGGTTCAGCTTTTGGTTATTCTAGTGAAACTCTCACTCGTAAAATTCGTTCAATATCATTTGAATCAATGTTGAGACAAGATATTTCTTTCTTTGATGAAGAAAAAAATACTACTGGTGCTTTAACTGGTGTTTTAGCTTTGGATGCTACTTATGTTAATGGGTTGGCTGGTCTTACTTTAGGTACTTTATTACAAGTCTTAACTACTGTAATTGGTGGGTTAGTTGTAGCTCTTATAGTTGGATGGAAGCTTGCTTTAGTATGCATGTGTTGTATACCTGTTATGCTTGGAGCTGGTTCTTTACGTATGAAGATGTTAGGTGGATTTCAACAAAAGACTAAAAAAGCTTATAGAAATTCGGCTAACGTTGCTTGTGAAAGCTCTGGAAATATTAGAACTGTTGCTGCTCTTACACGTGAAGAAGATGTATTAAAAATTTATCATAATATGCTTGATGAACCAATGCGTGAAGGATTTAAGAATGCATTTTTAGCTTCTATTGCTTTCGCTTTTGCTCAATGTGTTACTTTTTTAGCAAATGCTTTAGCATTTTGGTATGGTGGTAAATTAATTATGGATGGTGAATATGATCTTAAAAAAATGTTTACAGTTTTTATGGCTGTTATATTTGGTTCAATGTCTGCTGGTCGTGCATTTGCTTATGCACCTGATATGGCAAAAGCTAAAGTCGCTGCTGCTTCTATAATGTCAATAGTAGAACGTGTTCCTACAATCGATGCTTGGTTTACCGGTGGTAAAAAAGTTGATAAAGTTGAAGGTCATGTTAAATTTACAAATGTACATTTTAGATATCCAACTCGACCTCATGTTCCAGTACTTCGTGGTCTAGATATTGAAATAAAACCTGGTCAATATGCTGCATTGGTTGGTCCTTCAGGATGTGGTAAAAGTACTACTATTAGTTTAATTGAACGATTTTATGATATAACTGATGGAAAAATTGTAATTGATGGAATAGACGTTACTACTTTAAATGTTAGTAATCTTCGTGAACATATAGCGTTAGTTAGTCAAGAACCATCTTTATATGATATGTCAATTAAAGAGAATGTGATTTTTGGATGTCGACCAGGACAAGAACCAACTCAAGAAGAGATTGAGAACGCCTGTCGTCAAGCACATATTCATGATTTTATAATTGGCTTACCTGATGGTTATAATACCCCTGTTGGTGGAAAAGGAAAACAACTTTCAGGTGGTCAAAAACAACGAATTGCTATTGCAAGAGCTCTTATTCGAAATCCAAAGATTTTATTACTAGATGAAGCAACATCAGCTTTGGATTCACAAGCAGAAAAGATTGTACAAGAAGCATTGGATACTGCTGCAAAGGGTAGAACGAGTAAGTTTTACTTAATTAAAATATCCTTATTTGGTTAAATAACTTTTAAATAATTTGATTTATCTTTTCTTTAAACAAAAAATAGCTTTGGCTATAGCACATAGATTGTCAACAATTCAGCATGCGGATGTTATATTTGTGATCAGGGATGGTAAAGTACACGAACAAGGTACACATCAAGAACTATTAGCACAAAAAGGAACGTACTATACTATGGTACAGGAACAAGATTTGGGAGATATAAAAGAATAAAAATATATAAACATATTGGTCGAACCAGATAATATAACTCATTTTTTAATATAATTTTGTAAATCTTCTTTCTTGACGATTCCTTTTTAACATAATTTTCCTGTAAATTTTTGGTGAGAAATAATTCTTAGCTATGTACTGCATAATAATTTATTATTATTATTATTATTATTATTATTATTAGTATGTTTATTTTACAAGCAATAATGGATTGATTTGGGACAACAAGTAATTAATATTTTATATAAGCAACCTTAAAAAAATTTTGAAGGTTTATAATTTTTGTAATAAAGTTTATTAAAATGAATAGGTTGGATTTTTTTCAAAATAAACTCTTTGATATAATGGATTTTTTAGAGAGACATGATTACATTACTACGTATAACAAATAAATCTAAATTTACCAATTCGAGATATCACTTTGAATTTAGCTATATGAATAGAATAGAAAATCCTAAAGAATAATCCTTTAATTACTTTAGTAGTTATGCATGTGAATACCGATAATGGTAATAGTTTCTTATGTTTGTAATTCTTATAACGATTAATATTATTTCGCATACTACGTATTAATTATCGTTATTATTTCAATTATTATTTATTATTAATACACTGGCGATCATAAGTAGTGCAACAAAAAAAAAATTTACTTAGATCAATTACCTCACGCAATTCCGGGCGTATCGGTTTTTTTTTTTTTATTCACTAATAACAACATTTTCATCAATAAAAAAATTAAAAAAATTCAATGAAAAAAAATTTTCACGGGCACGAGCTTTATTCAAATGCCATGTTGCATTACCTTTGCTCGTTTTTACAGCAACACGACTGTAAAACAAAAAAATTTTTTTACATAAAAAAAAAAAATTTTTTTTATTCTATCTAAAAATTTTCTACCTTCACCATTGGGTGTAACCATCCTGAGCTCTAATTACAGCATGAATTTGTTCTGGCATTGAACAAATTAGTCTTTTGCAGGTTTTAACATCAATCATCTGTCAAACTTCCTGAATTTTTTTATAAAGATCTGTCTCACTTGAAATTTGTCTAGGAAGATCTTTCAGCTAATAATCAATTTTATCTCACAGGTTTTTGATCAGGGGATTGAGAAGGTCAATCAAAGAACTTAATTTTATTCCTTTTAAGTCAACATTCCATCAAGGTTGTCATATAATGAGATATTTTTCTTATTGGAAAATAACTTTTCTAACATCAAATTCTTGATTCCTGATTGTTCATATTAGGTCTTTATGAAGTATCTTCTGATATAAGTTGCTGTCTATTGTGATATCAATCTTGCAATAGTTATCAATATCATAAGAACTAAAATATTCTCAAATCATAATGGAACCATCTTCATATTTTATAATGGATTTTACATAAAATTTGTTTAATGATTCTTTATAACATTTCCAATAGTATTACTTATTATCTAATCAAAAAATTTGAAATCTAGATTTATCAGACCAAATTATCTTAGACCAATTATTAATGGTTTAATTTTCATATTTCTTTACAAAAATGAGCTGTTCTTTTTGATGACTGTTACTCAGATAGTGTTTTTTTTTTATTTCTGATACTAAATTATAATTTTGAAATATACAGTATATAATAGATACCAAAATTGGCATATTTTTATTTTTTATAAGATGAGCTCTTATTTTAACAGCAATGGAGCACTAACAGGAGATAATGAGATTCACTATTCTTCTTTAAGTTGGTTTATCTAATGAAGTTGGGTGATTAGTCCTTACTAAATCTTTAAGCGAACAGTTTATTAGTTATTTTTTTTTAATTTATAAGACTGTAAAAAAAAAATATTATAGGTCTAATCTACTGCTCTTGTCATGTATTCTTTCTGAAACAAAAGTAATACTTGAACTTATTTAGTGAAAGTTGTTCAGTTCTTTTTTTTTGTTTTTGATTATCAATAAATTCTAGTATTATACAAGATGCAAAATCAATAATGAGATTTATATTTTTAAATATATTTATATTATACAGATTACATGATCTGGTCTTTGTTAAAAACAAGCGCAAGTAATACAATATGTACATACATGATTATTTTTGTATTAATATTAATGATGACTAATAAAATTCTAAAATTAAAAAAAAAGACTATTTATAAATAAAATAAAAAATTAACTGATATATTCAAAATTGCATGAGGTAATATGATCTAAGTTAAAATTTTTTTTTGTTACACTACTTATGATCACCAGTATATGATATTAATTATTCATTATATAGTCAGATCAGACTCTTTTAAATACATCCTTTCTAAATGCACATCTCTTAAATATATAATATAAACTTTATTCAAAGTGGAGCTTATAGCAGGACTAAAACAAAGTATAATAAATGCTAGACATATAGGACTAATTAGTATTATTGGATCTTAGACAGAGACACTAAATTTATTTTGAGTTCTGTAATTAATTGTTTTTAATTGGTCTGCTATATGAAACAGTTGCTAAATAAATTTGTAATTATACTTCAAATAATTTAAAAATATAATAAATTATATAAGATAATGCATCAAACCTATTTGTTCTAGTCAAAACTCATTTTTTTAAATCCTACAAAGTCAGACATTTGACACAATTATTATGTACATATATACATACTATTAGGATATTTGATCAACTAATTAAATTAAACTTATTTGTAAACCCATATCAGATATATATAGTAAATTTTTTTAAATAATACAATTGGCTAATTTATTATATAATAATTGTTTATATAATAATCACTTAATAATAATAACAATAACAAAAAATAAATTTAATTTTAAAATATTTTGATAAATGTAACTAACATATTTTGTATACCAAAATCCTCCTTTCTCATATAGATTTTTTTTTTTATTATTTTACTGAATATTAATGATTTTGTTTTTAAGTCTTTTTTTGTAAAATTTATTTCAGAAAGTCATAATTTGTTTTTTTAATAGTTTTAAAATTGTTCTTTATAAAGAAGAAAATGATACTAATTTTTGTCTAATCTTTTCTAAAATTTAACCTAACTTTTACTTTACAAAATCTTAGATTATATAATTTTTTTTTTGTTTCTACTTCTATTTTTATTATTACCTGCCTTTGTAATAAATACTTGATTAAATTTATTTTAAATTTTAATACTTATTATATCTAATCTATTAAATTTATAATTGTTAACATTAATAATAATTCAAAAAAACTTAACAAATCTATTCAATAATTTATATCTCATTTTTTTTTCTTTATTAACAATATTTTTTCATCTTTTACATCTAATATTCATTATTATATCTAATTTAAATACTTAGTTCCTATTAGCTATATTAAAAAAAATAATTATTATAATTGTGAGTTAATAGCAAAATGGTTATGCTTCTAGGTTACCAATCACAAGGTTGCTAGTTCAAGTCCAACAGGTAATAAAAACTGAGTTAAGACTATGATTGTTAATTAATTACATCTGATAGCATATTATGAAAATAGGAAGATCTTTGGTATCCAGATTCTTAAATAATGATAGACCTAACATAAGAAGGCTATGATAATTAAAGGCTAAGAATAATAATAGAACAAAGAAATTTCTGATTAGAAATAATCCTGATGAAATTTTAGGATAATAGAAATGCAAAATCAATATATAAATAGTATTATAAAATATATATAAATAAAAATATATATAGAGAACCAAGTTAATGATGGCCAGACTTAACATACAAAGCAGGCTATAACACTCTTCATAGCTATGAGAGCTGAGCATATAGTGGCGAATCTACAGAAGAATTATTCATTTTCTTGAATCCTATTTTATTATTAAACATCAAGAAAGCACTACAAGAACCAATTCACAATACATTATATGATCTAGACTCATACTATAACCAATAGTTAGCATGTCTAAATCTACTCCTACTTCCACATCTACAAATACTCAATTCATGTTTAATACACATTTATCAATACAACTTTACACAATATAATAATTTCAACTATGCACTAAGATTAGTAATCAAACTTGACTATAGTGAATACTATATATACTTACCATATATGTCTCAACCCTTACTTGATTATTTCTTCCTATATCTATTAGGTTATACTTATTATTTATCTATACTTATACTTTCTAAATTCTCTTCAATAAATAATAATAAATTAGATACTAACTTAATTATAAAGGATAATGAATTAGACAACACTTATCCTCAATTATTAGAAACTATTTTAGATAGCTATAATGAAACTATTATAGTTAATCAATACTACAATAATATTTAATTTAATATCTGCTATGACAAATTTTTATTTTACAACTACATATTACTTCTTCTTTATCTTCAAACTATTATTACTTTTTTATGACATATTCACAGCTTTGGCTACTCATCTGATAACTTATGTGGCTACACATTAACTATCTCTATTAAAAATAATCATAGTGAAGCTCATGTCTACCTTTCATCTAAACCCAAACTCTTACCTAATCACTTCATCTTACTAGTCCAAGCCATTTGGTACTATCCAAATATTCAACTAAAATCAAATATATCAACACCAGTTTTTTCTATACTAGCACTTTCAAATCATTAGTTCTTCTTTACCTTTCACCTATTCCAAAGACCAGAATTTCCAAAACATTACAGTTTATATTTATTTTTTTTTAATTATTTAACACAAACAAACCCCAAACCACTTGAACTATCAATTTGCACACATAATGTACAAGGCTATAATGAAGACCTAAAACAATAAATCTGGAAAGACTTTTGTCTTTTTAACAATCTCAAAATTATTAGCATTACAGAAACTAAAATCATTACAAATAACTTTATAACCAAATTACAAAAATCTAAACATTTTACTTATCTCTGGTCCTGTACTAATAATCCAAAAGCTGGTACAGCTATTATGATTCATAAGTTTATTAAATGCCACATTCACAAAATCCTACTCTTTTTTGAATATGTCATTACAGTAAACCTTTTCTTTAAACATGAC